TTTATAAAGCTATTGTTTAGACCAAAATAGAGTGTACATTATTCAGGGAGCCATATCACAAACTACTATGTGTTAACAAAGGTTTTTAGCAGTTTTTGTCATTAATTCAAACTTACTAATGGCATACTGATTAAATGTTATACCTACATAACTTATTTATAAATAATGATTTGGGTTCAAATAGATCGCGCGGTTGCAAGGGATATATATACTTGTATGAACAGGGTATATTAAGTTTGACATGAAGTTTTCGAAACGCAGAGGAGAATGTCAGAGACACTATATAAATACAATACATATAACATATATGTATATAGTTGATCAGCGTGTTGAGCAGAGTGGAATTAGCCATGTCCATATGTCTGTATATACGCCAACTAGTACCTCAGATTTTGAGATATCGCTATGAATTTTTACACACGTCCTTAGTTACTCGGAAGAAGTAAGTTATTGTTGTGAGTTAGAATCTAAGCGTCAGTGATTTCTGTTGATGTACAGAATAGTGAGCCAACATCTATTTATACTTTTTTTCGGCAACAAATGCTAATTTTCTTCATAAACACCCATAACTAGAATATATGCATGTCCTCCTCCTCACAGTTTCCTTGCTAACTTAGACGCTTTTCACTATTATTATATACACCAGTTTCTATTTAATATCATATCCATCAACAGTAATCACCTTCAAAGTCAATAATTAGTGCAAGAGCATAATATTATATTATTTGCCTTTAAGCCTCTTGTTAAATTGTGGTAATTCGAGCTTTGAAACATATTGTTATTTACTAAACAAATAATCTTTGTATAATTAACTAGATGAAAGATATAAATGTAAATAAACCACATATATATATATACAATATTTATATATATATGCATATGTATATACGAGTAGTATGTGTAATACTTACACTCACAAATTAACTTTGATGTGCAATTAACCATACGAGCATTGACTGCTGTCAATAAAAAGGTTCGAATGTGAAGTGAAAGCAAACCCATTATAATATTAGAAATAGGCAGAAGGGCAAATTTACAGAAGATTGCGTGAAGCGTGCAAATATTTGTTTTATGTGTCGAAGGTGTTACAAGGGTAGCACACGAAGTGCATGGACTAAAGGAAAAGAATCACTGGGTATATATAAAATTTAAATGTATAAATAATTATACTTGTATATATACTAAAAGGTTATTACACTAACCATATTTAAAATTTCGAGTTACACTTCAAATTATTATCTACACTTATGATTATATCCCTTATATTATATCCTTTATTGAAAGTGTCATATTTTGTAATAAAACTATAAACCGTGCATTCTTAAATAAAAATTTTGTTAATTAAAAAGTTAAATTATTAAATATTTTCTTCTTATAAGTTTTATTTTAATACCCAAAATATGATAATAACATAAATAATATTTTCTTTTTCCTTCACAGCTACATGTATTTTCAACTACCCTCGTACGCATAATTATTGAGTGTTCAGCAGAAGTTCAATTTAAGTTAATTGCTTTCGTGAGAGCAAACGAACTTTATCCTTTACAAATTTTAATCAAAGAATCGCATGAATATACGAGTACATAAATGCTGCATTATATACGTATACATACACGTATATGAGTTTGAAAATGAATACACATGCATGATTCGACCTTAAATAAGTGCTGATGCATCAGAGGATATACATATACATTGCATTTATATACAACACTGAATAAATTAAAATAAATAAACTGGTCTAAATAATTAATTATACTAAGTATCCAAATGCAAATTAATTGCTCGACTGCTAGAAATTAAATTGAAAATATTTTAATATCAGCAAAATTATTTTTGTAATAGAAACAGTAACAAATAAAAAAATTAATTAAACAAAATTTCTGCATTATATCGGCTTAATTTGGGCAACAACAATCAATCATTAAAGCACAGATCATAATAGATTTATTTGTCTTATATAGAAGCAAAGCCAATTGCAATAATTTTCCAGCGCCAATCGCAACCAAATGAACTTAATATAATCTTTTGAAGAGCTCCAAATGAAAAGTACGAATTTTAATTGAATTTTAATGAAATGAAATAGGTTAATATTATTTTTTTAAAGCCAGACTAAATTCAACAATTAACCTAGTGTAAAATTAAAAAAAAAAAATTTTAATGTTTGCATATTCCGATAGTCTAAGCTTTAAAAAATACCATAACATATTTTTTAATCGATAACTCAAGTAGTTCTTAAGTTACAGCTTTCTAAAATGTATTTGGTCAGTTCAATCAGCTCCATCAGTTTAGCTGTCAGCGCATTCCTCTCGAAACTGCAATACAATTTTCAAATATGTTTGAATTGCTTTAGTTATATATAAATTTCCGATTAACTCCCACAAATCGCCATTTTTTTGCGTACTTTAGGTTGTCACACTAGGTTTAATATTTTTATACAAGTATATTCAAAATTAAGTCACTATAATTTTTTATTCATAGCCAATTGTAGATTTTATACTTTCTTAATTGCCTTGCTAATTGATCAGTCTGAATTACGGCACTAATTAGTTAATTATCCAGTTATCAAATTATAACTAAGACTCCTAACGTATATTACTAATTGACTCAACTACTTGCCGATATTGTTTGTTATGATAAATTGAGCTCAATTACTACCCTAAATAAAATAAAAATATCTCAATTAGTGATCTATTTGAACATATTAACACACGCTTAATAGCAAAAAATTATATAAACTACCTTTAGTTCCATTTTAAGTTAACAGAAATATAATGATAATAGTTTGAAACAATTTAACATTTTCCACTGAAAAAACTTCTTTTGCAAAATTTTCCTTTATAATTAGGAAAAAAACATATCAAATTAAATGACAATTTTATAGAGTATGTATATTCTCAATTCTCCTCGAAGTTTTCAAGGCAATTTACTTCAGCCTGCATATTTGTACCGCCACAAAAACTCTACAGAGTATCAAAAGTAAAAAATATATAAATACAACAATAACAAAAATTGGCAACAGTTAAGTCACTGAACTGAAAATATGCGGCTCACCAGTTCAGCGCTTCTACTCGCAAGTGTGTGCCCTTTAAACGCTCCGTGAAAACCGCAAATAATACCGGCAGAAAGGAAAAAATGAGATTTACGAAAAAACACGAAAAAGTATATCCTTTCACCAGCCAGCAAGTGTGGAAATGGCAGCTATTTAAATAACGCCACCAGCATTCCGCGTAAAAATGCTTGGATTGCGGTTATTTATAGCACAGCCAGTGCCGGAAGTAACGAGCCAGAATCATAACGCTATAGTAAAAACTCAAAATGGAGCCAAGAAGTACGACGTTATGAATTGAAGCGCGAATATAAGTATGCAAATGAAATTTAAAAATCGAAGGAAAGAGTGTGGGAAAATCAAAAAAAGCGTTGAAAGGACGAAAGCTCCAACTTAAGTCGTTTAACAATGGCTGCTGATTAAGGCACATTTTGTGGAAAATTATAATTGCCGAGTATTAGAGTACTATTTGCCAAGTAGCTGTTGCTCAGGTTCTAAGCTAATTTTCTTTTATTGTGGTAGCTTATTTTTAAGTAGAAAATACTCACTAAAAAAATTTCGACTTCAAAAAAAATTCGTTAATTGCTTACTGTTTACTCTCGTGGTTTTTGTATACGTGCGGATGCTTAATAGTTTAATTGTATACTCATGCAAAAATATTATAAAAACTATTTGAGTTATTATTCTAAGTTTTGCATGCATGTGTGCGCGTGTGTTAGTACATTAGTTGCCATTTCAAGCTATTGCTTTTATAATTTTTTAAATACACGCTAATATGAAATAAATTTTATATTTTTCAGGTGTTTATAATTTTTTTTTTTTATTTTGTAGTACATCAGAAGTGACTAAGTGCTGTTATTTAACATCATATTAGATCTATAACTATATTCTTGCGGTTTTTCAAGAAATGCCGTAGCTTTAATATTATTCCATTATTTCAATATTCCAATGCTCCGAACATGCATTGGATAGCAATTGTTCTTGTGCGTGTTATTCCTGTCAAATTCACGACAAAACCAAATATTCACGACGCCAAGGTAATGCTCTGTTTTTGGTGGTATGAGAAAAGCAAAAACCGAGGGAAAGCATTAATAGGGTACACAAAGAAGGGGTAGTTCTTTTGGGACGGAATCCACGAATTTTCAGAAAGATTGGAAGATATTATAGATTCAGATGGGCAATAATCTGAATAGTATTATGATATATGTTTTCTTAAATAAACTTTCAAATTAAAAAAAAACCCCCACGAATATAGTTATATGGACCCAATATATACAATATATAACACTAAACTTGCGAAATCTTTTTGACCCAAAAAGTAATTAATAAGGAAACCAATTTTAAAATTCATGATTCAAGCAATTTTAGCAAAATCTGCGTAAAGACACTGAGAGTAAGGTTATAGCTTACTGATTTGTTTTTCTGTTTAAAACGCAAACGGTTTCTGATTTAAGAGACATAAAGATATTATATGTACTAGGCTATTTATCTTGCTTTAAGTAAATAAATATATAATTAAACACCAGGCATTAAGTTTTAAAAAGGACATAAAAACATCATTTCTTTACAGGTTCATGAGTAAATCGTAACCTCAAGCAATCTTGCTGTAATTCTTTTTTTTTTTTTGTTTTTGCCACTTATTATGCACACCTTTTAATTATAAAAGCATTAAATTATAGTTTGAAATGGCATCAGCTGCTTTTAGCTATTATGATTTTATAAATGTAGCAAAAGGTATGACATCTTTCACAAAACAAACAAGTTTTACACAAAGTGCTTCTGTAAATTCTTACAAAAACATTTATGTAGAAAATTTTTTAATTCACAACATTCAAAAATATTTTTAAATTTTGCAAAAGTCATATTCTTCATTAAATCAAAATATATCAAAGCATTTTTATAATTATTTCTACACAAACATCTACTCTTATATTTCGCTTAGTCAACTTACCGCTATCACATTCTTCATTTACATTCATCTCCAACATTTTTGTATGTGTAATATCCTTGTGTGATGCCAAAAAGAGCACCACATCCCGTTTCTCGTTCTTAATTGGCACAATGTCAAAGAGACACCAAAACGGTGAACCTGCAAAGAAGAAAGGTGAAGAAGTGAAATTAGCTTATTTGCATAAATGAACGAAGTACATATAAGCATATATGTGCGTGTGCGTGTTGAAAGACTCAAAGTCAAAAAGCGGAAAAATGAGCAAAACGGTAAGCTGGGAATTACTTGTTGATCGAATCTGTCGTTGACATGGCGTATACGTAATCCATATTTACTTATGCACGGTAGCGTAGATTTTGCTGGTGAAGCTTTAAATTATGCTTTAAGATAACAGTTAAAGTGGAAATTTTCATAACACTTAAAACGAGCATTACACCATCAATTTGTATGCCAGCTATATGTTATAGTGATCCAAACTGAACAATTTCTGCGAAGATTGCATAATTTTTTAGGCAATAATCCCTGCCAAATTTCGTGAAGATATCTCTTCAAATGAAAATTTTTTCCATACAAACACTTGATACCGATCATTCAGTTTGTATGGCAGCTATATGCTATAGTGGTCCGAAATCCGTCGCTCTAACAAACGAGCAGTTTCTTCATGAGAAAAGGACGGGTGCAAAATTTCAAATCGATATCTTAAAAACTGAGAGACTATCTCGTATACATACGGACGGACGAACAGACAGATGGACATGATCATTTATGTATATACTTTATCGGAAACCCTACGTTTCCTGTTGGGTGTTTCATACTTCGTGGCGAACCTTGAACTTAGGATCAAAAATTTAATTTTTATACTCTCGCAACCTGTTGCTACAGAGTATAATAGTTTTGTTCACCTAACGGTTGTTTGTATCACCTAAAACTAATCGAGTTAGATATAGGGTTATATATATATAAATGATCAGGATGAAGAGACGAGTTGAAATCCGGGTGACTGTCTGTCCGTCCGTCCGTCCGTCCGTCCGTGCAAGCTCTAACTTGAGTAAAAATTGAGATATCTTTATGAAACTTGGTAGACATGTTTCTTGGTACCGTGAGACGGTTGGTATTGCAGATGGGCGTAATCGGACCACTGCCACGCCCACAAAACGCCATTAATCAAAAACAAATAACTTGCCATAACTAAGCTCCGCAATAAGATACAAGACTGTTATTTGGTACACAGGATCACATTAGGAAGGGGCATCTGCAGTTAAAACTTTTTTTTAAAAGTGGGCGTGGTCCCGCCTCTAATAGGTTTAATGTGCATATCTCCTAAACCGCTAATGCTATATTAACAAAATTCACTAGAAGCAAATGTTTTTAGCACTTCTATTGACGGTGTGAAAATAGTTGAAATCAGGTGGCAACTCCGCCCACTCCCCATATAACGGTACTGTTAAAAACTACTAAAAGCGCGATAAATCAAGCACTAAACACGCCAGAGACATTAAATTTTATCTCTGAGATGTTAAAAATTTGCTTTATAGGAACCGCGTTCAAAATTAGTCAGTGGGTGTGGCACAGCCCACTTTTAGGTGAAAACCCATATCTTGAGATCTGCTTAACCGATTTCAACCAAATTCAGTGCATAACGTTATTTTCATGTTTCTATGTCATAGTGCGAAAATGGGCGAAATCGGACTTCAACCACGTCTATTGCCCATATAACACCATTTTAAATTCCATCTGATTCTTTAACTTTCCACTATGCAAATCAGGCAACAATGACTGTATCGGGATAAAACTTTGCGTGAATAATGCGATTAAAGTATGCCACCTTGTGGCCAAAAATTATCTAAATCGAACCAAAACTGTTTAAGCCTCTAAGTACTAAATATGTGGACCCCATTGCCTATAGTTGACCTTCTACCGAAAATATCAGTCAATCCACAAAGAAATCTCAAACGAGTATACTATTTGACTTTGCGAGAGTATAAAATGTTCGGTTACATCCGAACTTAGCCCTTCCTTACTTGTTAATTCCAATTTTAAAATGAAATGTGAAAAAAAATATTCGAGATTATAAAATAAAATATTTTCGGCTTTGCCCGGGAAGTAAAGAAACCGAAAATGCGAGTTTAGCTGCTCAAATCAAGATAAGGTAATTATTACAATTTATTCTAAAAAATTATGAATTATTTATTGTGCTTAAAATGTTTCATTATCCGCACTTTAGGTATCACTTAAAGAGCTCTTTTAAATATATTAAATATGATAGCCACCACATCACTTACACCATTGAAGCTTACGAGCACACGTACGGCATGCTAACAAGTATCCATTAGACACCAAAAAGCTGTATTCCTCACACAAATTAATCAAAAAATCGCTCCAGACTTAGACTAGACCAATCAGTGCTGCACAAAATAGAAACTTATAGCATACTAACAGGCGCAACGAGGACTAAATTACGTGTTCCACAAACATACATACTTCTTACAACATATATTTTACTTTTATCTCTTTGCTCTTCATCTACTTACATTGTTATTATATGCTTTGTGACACGCGCAACGCTTCGCAAAGTCTTCGAGCGAAATAGCTTTTGAAATGTGTGCCTACACTCTTAATGACATGCATTTGCTTATGTGCTTATCAATTTGACACACTTTTTGATCTTGTGCACATACATATACAGTGTATACGAGTATAACGAAAATGCTCATTTACACTAGTATGTGTGTGTGAGTATAGAAAAATTATATAGTTAATTTAATGAGACCTTACTGCTTGAGCGCGCATTCAAGCGACTGTGAACACTTTAAGCGTGTATGGGTGTGAAGGACAAGTGGAGAGAAACATTGCGCAAAAATTCAGTAAGGTTGGTTGGAACATAGCTTTAATAGAAATTGCATAGACAATAGTTAGATTTTCGTAGATTTGCTGAAGATGATAAGGAAAATGAAAAAATGTAAGAAGCGCTGGATATAAATTTTTCTGAAAACAACTTTAAACGGAGCATCGGTAATGCGATTGAAATAGAACAAATATTCAAAAAAGATGCTAGAGTTCTTCCGTAAGTCTTTAGATTAAAAAAGTCAGTAATTTTTAATCGAGAAGAAAGCAAATATTATTCTTTCAAATATCTTATACCTGTAGCCCCAAATAGAATATGAGCTAAGTTTTGCCTAGGTTACAAATCAACTGACTGTTCCGAAGAAATTATAAAATTTATCTCGCAACTCGATTAAGAAAATATATAAAAACAAATGTGATAATTAAAAAATAATACTCGTATACATGATTATGGAGTTACCACTTATTGAACAATAAATATAATAAAATATAGCTGCCGATGAACAGACCCAAAAATGAGTGTCACTTAGCTTTTACAAGACCCTTTATTGTGGACTCATTAAACGGATAGGCGTTTGCTTGCCAAAAAAAAATGACAGAGTTTGAATAAAATATATTTACGAACAGCCATGTAAGCTTGAAATGCAGGTGGCAACCCCATGGAATAGGTTGCTTTAAGCTAAAAAATAATATGGCTTTGTTGTAATCCTGCTCAAATTATTACTTAATTTAGAACAAACTCAAATTTAGTGAACATTTCTCCATTAAATTTACTTGCCGATCTGGCATCATTTAACAAATGTTTAGTGAACATTTTAAATCTGAGCATTAAGGCACTCGTAAAATTATCTAAAAAAAAACAAAATGTTTGGTATTCAACAAACAAAATCAAATTCTATAAACGACCTTAAAGCACAAATGAAGCATTGAAAGAAAACCAAAAGATTTAACGCGCATTAAAAACCAATAAAATGCCAACTCCTGTTATTTGTTATCAGCGCAGCATTTACGAATTGAAAAGCAAACGTCAGCTCAAGTCAAGTCAAGGCGAACAAAACGCCGAAACGCACTCAAATGATGCTATTTACGTATAAACTTAACGTTCATATGATTTTATTTATTACCAATGTGGATACGTGTCCGTTTTGTTGTGAACGTGTGAAACGGCAGAAAATTGCGTATACGCCACGTTGTCTGTGTCATTCACGCTGATATGGGCAGCAGCAGCAGTGTGACGTGTGTGCCTTAATTTCAGCAGCTCGTGTATATACGAGCAAAAAACGTGCACACACACCGACAAATACAACAAATTGCTCACTTACAGTTACAAATGCGCAGCGCTGAGTAAAGCCTCACAGCATGCTCCCCAGCGACTACGCACACTGGGAGTTGAGTGGGCGTGATATGCTAGGTGTAGGTATGTTTTTCCAATATATGTGTATGTATATATATTCACTTGTGTTAGTTGATTTCGACCTGCTTCCTCTCGACATGTTTTGTTCTGCTCAAACTACTGCTGGGACAATAAAAAGTCACTCGAATAAGTTTCTGAGTGGGCTTACGTTAGATGACAATGTTTCCCTATAATTCCTTTGGCTTCTTGTTGCTCTTTTTGTCGCCTTACTTTTGAGTTCTGTTCAACTTTTTTGTAATTTTTACAGTTATTGTGCTAGCATACATACTTTGTCTGCTGAATTGTATGACTTCCGCTTCAATTCTGAATGTCGGTGTACATTTATGTTTAGAATACATAGAGAGGCACATGTTGAGTGGTAAAACTGCTTAAGTAGAGTTAACACCAAAAATGTATGCATGTCTATTTAAGCACAACTGACGCCTAACTTCGTAAGCAAGAAGAAGAAGAAGAAGCTGCTGCTTTTTTTTCTTCATATTCCAATTTGTATGTTTCCTTATTGAGGCTTTGTTTCGAAAACCATGAATTCATAAGCTCGCATTTTAATTACAACAATAAGTCTACAAGCAAGACTTTCAAAACTCTTTAATGTTGAGTTATGTTATTTTTTTCTTTTAGCAGCAGCTATGTTCGCAAGTATATCGTAGCAAGCTGTTGCCTTTTCATATTCTTGAATATTCATAAATTGCGTCTGATGTTTGGCGTAAAAGTTTCACTAATTTGTGGTAAGTGAATAAAATTTTATTGCTAAAGTTTCAAGAAGTTAGGTCTGCCTTATTTTTAGTAACTATCTAAAAAAATTTAGTGGTTATTATATCTTTATTTTCATTTTGAACAATCGAACTATTCTAACGCACAAGTCATGATTTTCATTCTCATTTCTGCGCCTTTGGTTTATCTGACTCATTTTTCAAACTGAAAAGACCATATTGTTTTCTCTTAATAAATAAATTGTAAGAATTTATTTTAACGTAATTTTTAGTCTAAACTATTGAAATTTTTGTTTTTGTGTGCTTTTTTGGGGTCTGTGTGCTTGTTTTGGACCATATTATGTACGTGAGAGTAAGTGCATTTAAGGTATTACTTTTTTAGATAATACTGTTTGAAAATTAAATTATGGATTGCAAAAAATGTTTGCATTATTGCAGCCAATAAATAAGTTTTTCCAAGCTCCTTTCATTCATGATAACAATACTAAGAAAGATAATTTAATAGTAATTATAATTTATAACCTACACCTTTTCTGACCTATGTATATTACTTGAAGAATAGACATTTGTCCATATTCGCAATGAGAAACCTATTAACAGTCAACAGATCCCGTGAAAAATAGTTAGTGTGAAAAGCTCACTCATTTGAAAAATTTGACAGATATTTGATGGTGATAATAAATATTCATATTAAAAAGCAGAAGTGGTTATTATACACTTCTCATTCTACTTATATTCGAAGTCTTATCTTATAGGTTCATAACCAAACTAGTGGTTGTGGTATAGATATGATAGACACTTGTGGGTTTGAAAATTAACTAAAGGAAAATTTGGCTAAGAAAATTGTTTTTATTTCTTAGTATTATTTCTTATGCAGGGAAGGGTGTAAATTAGGGAACAGGTCAATGATAATCGTAAAATTTTTTTTTTTGTAGGTATATATACAATACATTAGGTTGGGTAAAAAAAATGTATGTTTTTTTCGCTTCATATCCTGAAAAATTGGTTGATAGACACTTATAAGAAAGGCTGCCCAAGTATAAGCTCTTAATTGTAACGGAAAGGTCCTCAGACTATAGATAAAAATATTCATATCCCTCTTCCAATTGCTTGAATATTTATCTCATTTTATAGATTTTGTAGAAAATTCAATGCTCTCTAACATGGTTCTTAACGAGTTTTTCGTAAACCTAACCGTTTACAAGATATTACCGATTGAAATTTGACTATCTTAAGGCAAATTTGTTTTTTTTCTTTTGTGCCTTATATCTATAGATCAAGACATTATTTCACTATCTTCGATGAAACCCAAAGAGACTTCAGTGATTTTTAAACCGCTTGGCTATTTGTGAATATAAATATATTTCTTGCTTAAGCACCTACTTTGTCACAAAAAGAAGGCAAATTGAAGGCAAAGTTTGATTGGTAGTAATCCTAATAGCTACTAATAGAAGCAAGCTCAGCTGACTTCGCTGCCAGTTGCTTACAGAACAAGCCTGTGGGCAGTAAATATAAATACAGTAAATATAATAATTTAACACGGTGTAAACGGTGAGGAAATGTCTACGAAACAGGACCGAAGTTTTCACACGGCTTTCTTAGATATTGGCATGTGTCCCGTTTTAAACAAACAAATAATATTGTGATATTTATCTACGGTAGTAATATTTTTTTTTTGAATTTGAGATAATTTCAAGGAGCAAAATCTTTCTCACCGCCAGACACCTTTTGTTGGAGGTGTGTCTGAAAATCGACAAAGAAATTCTCAATTTTTCAAAAATTTTCAAAATAAATGTACATTAAATTCCGTAAATACAAATTTTTTATTTTTTATTCAATAAAATGCCTCCGGTAAAGATTCGAAAATAAACGCGTTATTTTGATTTACCAGTGGCGCCATAACTCCTTAATATACTAAGTCTCAAATTATGTTCCTATTTGGTATTTAAGTATAAGGATTTCCTAGTAAAAATACAAATATTATATCAACATACAAATGACTCGTTCACCCCAATAATACTTTTCCCCGCGCTCAATCCTTGTAAGGAGCTAAAGCCGCACCCAGTGCACTGTTGTTGGGTCACTTTGTGTATATTTGTCATTTATTTACAATTTTCTCCACATAAACTTTTTAATTAGAAGCCTTCATCGCTATTGATGTCTTGCAACAACAACTCTATTTGCTTTTAAGTATACGATTCAAATACATAAGAAATATTAATGTTTTCAATAACAGTGTGTACTTACCATCTTTTTTATAAAAAATAACTTCCAATTTCAATTCGGTCTTATTCATCAGACTTTTTTCGATTTGCTGTTTGTGCTCGTCTTTTGTTTCCGGACCGTACAGGAAATGGCAGGAGCATCCTGTTGACACAATAAATGCAGTCGACGAGTGGTCGTAGTCGAAACACGCCGCCATTCAACGAAATTGACACAAGCCAGCAACAACAACAACAAATATGGAAGTCGTCATCAATGTACAATGATGATGGGCGCAGTTGGGCAACCATTGTCCGATGGATTGTTGCCAAGCACGGTGATGAGCCGGTTGGCAGGCAGTATTCATGTTTATATTGTTGAATTTCAGTATAGTTGTTTTTGTTATTGTTGTAGATGTTTTTTGTTTCGTATTTGTATTTGTCGTTTTTTGTTCATTGTTGGCATTTTAATGGGTAGAATTGTTTTCGGTGTTGTTGATTGGCAGCATTTTACACGATCATTGTTGTTTTAGTAATTGCAATAGGCCCGTGAAATTACATGGATTTGTGCGAAAGCATGGAAAGGAGAAGTAAATGAAAGAGCAAATTGGAAAAGTGTTGATTTAAATTATATTTGTGCTGAATAAGAAAACAGTTTTCCATAGAAAGACTTGAATTTGATAGATCAGTTTGTATAAGAGCTATATGTTGTAGTATTTTGATCTGAACAATAAACTCGGAGATTGTAGTGGTGCCTTGGTCAATTCTCTAGGCCAATTTACGTGAAAATAGTTTCTCAAATAAAAGAGTTTTCCTAACAACGACTTGACTTTGAACGATAAAGGTATTTATTTGAAGTACATTGGCGAAAGAAATTATGTGAAAAATCAAAACCTAGTAGAAAAATAACACAACTGTACTTAGATGGTTATTCTCAACTCCTGTTAGCTCATTTACAATTATTTACATAACTCGAGGGAAATAACTAGATGGTTAAAAAATTTGACAAACAAATGTCTGTGAACTTAAAAATCTGTAGAACTGTGGATTGGATTGTAGCAAAACTTGGGAGGACTGAGGCAATATGGATCTCAGCCTAGGAGGTAGCACTGTACTATAAATCAGTCTCCAAGCAATAAACACGTTTACAACGAATTAAGGTAAGAGTCTCACTTTTATTACTAAATATACTTTGTTTTATTCAATATTTTGTCAAGTTAGTCTAAAAGAGACAATTTTTAAGAAATTTAGTAGTTCGGCTTTCTACCTTAATTATAAATATGTATACATATAAAAAATAATAAAAAAATAAGTAGTTATCCATTATAATCTTTTCTACTAAACTACGGTAGTGGACATATTTTGGTTTAAAGATTTTCGCATACTATTATGTCACTTAGTTGTTTTTTATTTTTTACTTTTTATTAGAATTTCCTCCAAATCGCATTTAAAAAAAAAGTATATATATATTTCTTCTTATTTAATTTACTAAATTTTATTTTATATTTCCATCACAAATTTCCTTATTTTTTAATGCATTTTTCATTTTAAAACTTACCCTTTTGCATTATTTGCGCACGCGAATATCTTGTCAACTCCACGAAGCCATCCGAACAATAAACAATTGGATTGCCATTTGCCTGCGCATTGCCAAGCACAAAATTTGAATCTGTGACGCACAAAAAATAACAAAGAGCGAAAAAGAGAGTAAATAAATGTTTGACGAGTAAAATGGTTTTATAGATAAAATTCTAAAAAATATATATCTAACGTGTATGTAAGTAGTAAGTAAATGGGTTTGTGATAATAAAAAGCTTTCAACTTGCATTGTTTGCTGTCCAGCTGTGCATTAAAGGATACTATTGACTTTGGCACTTATTTGACAGAGTGACAAATCTGCATTGTTATTGTTTTAGCCTTTTTTTGCTTATAAAAGTCAAAGTGGTAATCAATTTGGACACTAAAAAGCTTAAGAGAACGTCAAACACTCTTGTGCATTGTACTTAACTTAATACCTAATATAATATATAATATAATATTATGCGGTTATAGAAATTCTGAGAATTTTAACTCAATTAATTTAAATTTCTGAAAAACTTCATTCAATTTGCTCAAATAAAGTACTAGCCAAATAAAAACGCTGTAAATAATAAATTAAGTGCAGAAAGTAAGCAGATATAGTATGTATACACATACGTGCATAAGTTAAAGCATGTTGCTAATGCGCAGTAGCTTCCATAAGTTTTTGGTGTTTAATAAATTTAAGCTTATCTTCTATTTAAAGAAGCAAGTGCTTGCTGTAAATCAGAAATCTACAAACAGCTGGTCAAAACGTGCAGATAAGCCAAGCCAGTCTATAGCTCTCAAAGAAGCATACAAAAGTGGGTAAACATGCATTGCACGCACACATATAAAAGTAATGGACTTTAAGTTTAACTGCAGAAGTAACACTCAGGAGTATTTAATATTTATGTTTAATTATAAATGTTAGTTTATAAAGAGCGTGCTTCAATTTGAGCAAACAAGTATTTAAGATATTTGTGTAAAACTAATGTGGTAAAGGTATACTTATATCATTGTAATCTCAATTTAACCAAACTACCCTAAAGTAAGTACCCCACACTCAGGATGAAACTTTTATGCATGGGTTTATTGAAAAAACCTAATTTTGTAGTTGAGTTAGACCCGATAATTTTTGGAGAAATCTGAAACTCACTTTGCTAATATATACCATATAAAATACTTACTTGTTTAACAATATTTGTGTATTGAAAACATTCTCATACGACTTTTTGCCAACTATTTCTAATTAAATGTGGTTATTCAATAAAATTCACCAAAAAAGCGTGTTTTCTAATTTGGAAATATATACAACCCCTTAAGGTATTTGTAACTTAATAGTATAATAAACAGATAAGGAATAAATATTTTTATCCTATAAATACCTACATCTATATAAATATACCGTGTATTGTCCATATACATATATCTACAAGTCTACTCTTTTACTTCCACTTTGCCTCACCACCACTTTCGGTATGATACTTATGTTTCGGTTAGTTAACTTTAACTTTGTTGTCTGTTTACCAACAACCAAGTGAGATGTGCATAAACGTTTTCACGGTTTATCTTACACGAAGTTCCCTTATTCTCTTATTTTCTTTCATTTTACTTCTACATATCTAACTAAAGCAAAATTAAATGAAATGCTTGGAAATTCATGAAAAGCGCTTTCAACTACAAATAAAAGCTTTCGTATTACTCATAAGTATGAGAGAAGGCTTTCAGTAAATTTGTAAAAGACATAAGAAGCTTTAAAATTGCACAAAGGATTTTGCAAGTATTTTTCACAGAAATATTTTTATGACAATAGCAAAGATTATTCTTTTTATAAGTTATCTTAGTAAAAGCTAACTGCTTTTAAGCAAAATAGTTAAATTCATATTAGTACGTACGACACTTAACGACTGAGCTGGGACTAGCTTGTATTCAGTCACGCTTAAAAAATCTAGAACTAACATGTACATACAACAGTACGAAATTGACAAGATTGCACGCACGATGAAGGGAGCTATAAGTCTGGCAGAATATAATTTTTAGGTTAGGTTGGAGTGTGATCAATAAGAGTGGTGAGAATGAGATGTTGTTAGACTAATATACTGTCAGAAACTAAGATAGTGAGAGATTGTCCAACTATGAAACCAAATAATAATATCACTGTGTTTCAAAGGCTTCTATTCAACCAAAACTTGCAGCTGATTTGCCTAAGAACCTAAAAAGTCTGATTTTAGCCTAAGCTTGGCTCAAAAACGCTCACAAACTACAGATTCTTGTAAGAGCTCAGTATTAGCCTAGCGCTATCGGAATGTACAAAACCAGCTAAATAGCGTTATAGCTTTCTGAAGCATTACTACTCCCGGAAAATTAGTACAGTCGGATTATGACGCCCACGAGGGTCATTAAGGTATGAGTAGAAGAGTTTGGAACGACCCAGATAACCTTAAAATCTACTTAAAGCCTTATGTACAGTGTAGAAAATCATTCTAATGATATATTATATAGTCTTCAGTAATATTTTCAATTCATCTACTTAGAAAAGAACAAAACTAGCTAAACTGTTTTTTCCAATTATTTTTTTATACCATACATAATTCTTGGTCAAGATTAATCTTAGCCCATCTGGTTTTTTTTTTTTACAATTTGTTTTACAAGAAAAGTTACAAATGCCAATTAAAAGTTCATCAGTCGCCAGACAAACAAAAAGTTTGAAGATAAATGATACATGCGCTTAACTCTTTACGGAAAGAAGAAGAACAATTACTATATATTACATATGTATGTGTGTGCATACGTGCAGCTTTCGTGTCAGAGGAACGAAATATTGGGCCGAAAATTAAGGCACACATACATAATTTACTACTCTTCGTTTAATTTTCTAAAATATAGTGTATATGTATGCATGTGTATCTGTTTATGTATGTTTCCATATACCTATAAGGGTAACATATACTATCCGAAAAGCCAAAAACCAATATCGGCAACTTTTAGAAGTAAGCACACAAAAGCCTCAGGTCAGCTTAAATAAAACCATAGTTTTTCACACATATTCATGCATACAAACAAGGATTTTTGCCTATATATACATATACCATATGTGTTTCTAAGAGTTATATAAACAGCCAACAATGACCTCCCATGCACTAAAGTAGCAAACAGCTTTGCTTTTGGGAAGGTCAGTGTTGACCGAAAGTTATAAGTAAATATTTGCGAAACTTAATTAACAGTTCTAAAACGTACGATGGGCGACAACCGAAATACTACAACAACACTGTGCCAGGGAAAAATAGACGTTGCGTGCTCAGAGACTTAATGCCGGTCGGTTATCTTTAAATACAACTATAAATATACAAATAAATATATATGTATACATATATATATCTATATAGAATATATATATATATATATATTTATGTGGGCACTGGGTAGAGTTCAATGCAACAAATTAATGGCAGCGCCATAGATATGAGTGACAAAGAAACATGCCGAGCAGGGCGTGAAACTTCAGCAAATGGCGTCACTAATTAAACGCAATTTTCACAATCAACAAAAGACCACAATTGCGTGGAAAGTTGATTATGTGATGATTGATAAATGCGTTGATTCGGCGACAAACGCATACATACATGCATGCATATAAATGTACGCGCCTTTATCCATGCAAAACTCCGATATATAGAAAATGTTGCTCCATCGACGCGGATAAAATTCGCATGGCGCAAAAAAGTGTTGCATATGCAAAGGGGCATACTAACAGCATAGAATGGCGTTTATACAAATGTGTTAGAGTTTTTGAGCCCAGTAAACGCAAGTAAAGCGTAATATTTAAACTTCATTAGAACAGTATTTGTTATAAATAATGAATAAATATAAAAATATTATCTGGATTTTAAAAAAATGCCGTTTTCGTATCACTGACCTTTAAGAAGCACACCTATTGTGAAATTTAGATATAAAATCGATTTTTTCATATTTCAATAGGTTAAAACTTTGAATAGTGACATAGTAAAATTTTTAATGATGAGATCGCATGTAACTCAAAAGATATTTATTTTATCATTCGAAATTTTACTATCTATATTTAAAGTATGCAAAAACATTTCTTACAAATTTTGTTTTTTTTTTTCTTAGCAAAACATCGCATTTTTAGGCTGTCACAATAGGCGTGCCCTTTAAAATTAATTTCCGCAGACATTTCGAAGCCAGTAGTCATGTTTTTCATTAGGATCAGCATAAATAAGTATTTTTGAGAACTCAATGTACCCACCATTCTAAATATACTCAGTATATAATTTTTAGACTCTGTTATATATAAGTTTTAGACACAATATTCATAGTTTGACCAGATTTTTTATTTTTTTCCTTAAATACTTTCGATTCTAAATAAAAAATTGTTTATTTATCATTGAACACAAATATTAAAAAAAAAAAATTTACTGAGGTTCGCTTCACGGATGAAAAAATATTTTTAATTACACCCGAAAAGTATACTACAATTTTTGTATTCAGACTTTTTAAATGTCTACAACTCTTTAAGAAGGCTTTTCGGACAGTTGACCGTCATCTTAAAAGTATGCTATAATATAAATATTTTAATTCGAATGAATTAATAAATGGTTCAAAAAATATTCTAACAGTATTTTGATATAAAGTGTCTAGTTTTGAATGAGTAGAAGACCATATTAATGCCAAAGAATGACCTTTTGTTACAGATAAAATCTCCCACATCTATGGATAATAGTAATAATGCTGAAATCAGGCTCCAAAGCCACCAACTATCTAAAATTTTACCGAGTTTTGCTTGCTAGGCGCACTTTCATACAAATATATGTAATACCGCAATTGAAAGCGCACCAGTACCTATATGTATGCATATGTGTGTTTGTCCTTGCTATGGGAAAAATGAACCTGGACACATACACTTCCGCCAACATGTCGCATCTGCTACTGATTGCGGCGAACTAAGTTGCCGCAATTGTGGCTTTTATAGCCACCAGGCAACCAACCCGTAAACAACACCAACACCATGCACACATACATCCACGTATATAAATTCATCGTACACTTGTATTCACTGCATTTATTTTGCTGGGCCATTCGAAGCTTCAGGGT